TATATATATATATATATATATATATATATATATATATTCATATAACGTACAGTCGTAAACGTAACGTTCCGTCGAAAGCTTAACATTCCGGTTGCGTTGCAAAAAAAAAGAGAGAGAAAGAGAGGGAATTCCACAAAACGAAACAATTTACGACTGGCTTTTTCTATTTTTTTCATAAAATAATACGCCGGTAAAAAAAAAGAACGGTTCCACCGGGAGCATTGTTTCGCGCAAGCGTCGGTGCACGTTTTATTAATTACAGCCGGTATCGGGAAGGGAGAGAGAGAGAGAGATGGATATTTTCTCTTCGTTGTCGGTTCGCAGTTAAATAACCGCATGACGTTGTCATAAAGAATTTAATCCGCTTGTATTCTGTTTTTCTTTTGTTTTTTTTTTTGCACTGTTCTATTAAGCGATTCGCAAATTGCGCGAAAAAAAGTAACATTTCCTCACTTTGGAGTTGGTCGATCTCGATGATAGTTTAACGATCTTGACGACAGCTTCCACGTATCGCATATCGAACCGCAGAGTGAGTGAAATTCAAACGAACCCGAACTCTGAACGTAACTCGCGTGCTCGTTCTTGAACGGTCGTAACAACATCGAGAGCGGAGAATTTCGCGCGAAGAGATCGAAACGAAGGAGCGGTCCGGTTCGCGGCTACGATTCCACGGGACGATTCCGCTGCCGAAACGGTTCGACCGTGGCGGAGTGTCGAGAGAGTTGGCCAGCAGGATTTCCACGGAAATAATCTGCTTACGGTAATCTTCTTGGCTTGCCTCCCTCCCGGTTAAGGTCCGCCTTCCACGAGGAGGACCTTCGTCTCCTCGCCGTGTATACGCGGTGCAGCATCCTCGACGAGAGCGGAGAACACTTCGAATCCTAGTCGACATCGGGTTTTCGCAAGGGATATCAAGGGACGCGTATCGTCTACCTTTTTTGGAAGGGACTGTCTGTGGTGTATCTGTCTGTGCGAGGTCGAGGAACGTCCGGATGAATAATTTCATAAATAAAGGTCGAACGTCCGAAGATTGAAGTTGAGAAGTTGATCGCGAGTTCGGGAACGGGGAAGATAAACGTGTCACGTGTGATTGGCTTCAAGACGTGAGTCGAAGTACGAATCTGGATGTCCCGTTTATTTTCCAAAATCGTGTGGAAACCGAAACTGTGGAGCGAAAGTTATCGGAAAGACGTGGCCGCCATGTGAACGGTGACCTAGAGGAACGGAACGACCTCGTGGAGAAAATATCAGTAAGTTTCGTCGTAAGTGGTGGAAAGAAGACGGGAAGGATGACGACGAGAGAAGAAAGGAAACGGAGGAACGCGAGGAGGAAAAGAAAAAAAGAAGAAAGAAGAGCCCCGAGGAGAAGAGGGTAGCGCAACCCCGTTGGGATTTTTTTTTCTTTCGACCGAGAATAAAACCTAACTACCCAAGTGAGAGAGAATAGCTCCGTGGATAGGTATATATACGTATATATACGTCTGGCCCGTGGCATTTCCACGGGAATTAAGTTTTACGCTCAATGAACGCGCAACAACGGGCGTCCTTCGGGCTAAATTGCATTCAATGCGACTCGGCGAAGAAACGTTTTCCTCGTGACTACGCGGATACCACCTCTTAGCGGCGGTATTCAACGACGATCCTGTGCAAGACACGATCCTCGCGGACAGGTTTTGTCCCGTGGCAAAGCCCGCCGCCGACTTCCAAGCACCCGGAGGAGACGCGACCTTCTTTCTTCGCGAAGAGGAGGACCGATCCCTCGACTTCTTTCCTCTATCGGTGACGTCGTCGATCGCTCCGTTGCCCCGACACCTCGTGACGCGATTCCAACGAGGAGAGACTCCCCGTCGTTCGCGGAGAAAGAGATTTTGCAATAACGATTTCGCGGTGGCGAAGTAACGGGGTAGTCGGGATGCATATTTGGTAAAATCGGTTAATACCCGGCGAGTATCTCGTGGCTTTTTCTGGCCGCGCAGCGCCCTCCTCTTCACGCACAGACTGTGTACGACGTACGCGAGGTACACGTCCATTGTGGACGCCCGCAGCGAGAGAGTGCTCTTCGGGAACAATGCGGTTGTGTGCAAACACTCCTGGAAACAATGCGGCCGGAACTTAACTTTCCGCCGGTAGCTTTCGCCAGAGTCGTTCCTTGTGCACGAGCGAGTATAACTCCGGCGCAGATTGTGCTCGCGGACTCCGCCAAGTCCGCTATATTTCTTCCTTCGTTGTCTCACGATCGTCATTGAATGCCATTTTCGAATACCAGAAGTTGTTCCTCCTTCATCGAAAATTTTAAATTTCAATTCCACCGAATCTGATGGGAATGACTCGATGACGTGTTCGATATTCTCCCAAATTCGACCATCTCCTTCTATTCGAGACTCGTCGGATTAATCAAACGACGATTGAAGAAGAAAGAGCGTGGCTCGCTCGACCTGGCGGAATTCGATTGGCGGGAAAGAGAGGAGAGACGAGACAAGAGACGCACGTGGCCACGTCGAGCGATTCGTTAACACGATCCGTCGAAATGTTCGCGTATATCTCGAAGTCTTAAGCGCGTACGCGCAACCCTTCCGAGACAGGGCGTACACGCGATACGCAATAATGGGGATTTAACAGTCATTAGGAACAACGTGCCGGTATATACGTCGATTGGTAACACAAAGTGTTTGCAGTAGGGCCGAACTGACGAAGGTAGCGAGGGTAGGGGACGGGTGGTTGCAGCGGGAGATCGATTCATCGGGGGTGGAAAAGGCAAGGCTCCCTGTCTTTCTCCGACTCAGGCCCGTTCCTCTCTGCCTTTCCGCTACAGCAGGGTCATAGACGACTCGAGTACCCTCGAGGGCCAATCGAGTGGCGACTTGGGCATTTTGTCCACACTTGGTGGTCTGTAACAAGTGCATTGTCCTGTGCGCCGAACTGCACAAAGATAAAGAGAGAGAGAGAGAGAGAGAGAGAGAGAGGATTCTTTTTTTGGACTTTCCAAACGCAATGCGTTCGCCGCGTGCTTTTAATATCACGACAGTGTAAATAAGTGTGGCAGCTTGGTGTAGATAGAGTTGCTCCCTCTTCGCTATCGGGGACGTTCTTTGTTTCGCGAAACCGCACGGCACCCGGTTAATCGGTGGTGAACCGCGATTAAAATCCGCGTTTCTCCGATTGGTGGATCGATTCGCGTGAATTAAATGTTCGGCGTGCATCGAAAGCGCGCGGTATTTTCACCACAGAGGCCACAGGTACGAAGAGCCCGGAGTGATATTGGCAACCGAGAGACGATTGTTTGCACGTTTCTCAGCCATACGTCCGCCTGGTTTGTAACGAGTGCTTTGTGGCTAGTGTAAAGCGCAGGAGTGCACAAAGGTAGAGAGATTCGCGCCTGACTTACTTCACGAGGACCCTCGAAAGCAGCCGCCCTTTCTTCGCCGGCCTTCTTTTCATAGTGAGCCAAATTTTAATATAGCATGCCAGGAAAGAGGCGTCACGGGGAAGCTCGCGCTTTATGGATTCTCTTTCATCGGGCTGAAACTTCATTTCGGGGGGGAAAGCATCGCCGGCAAAGAACGTAATTAAATGGAAAAGTTATCGCGGCTATATTGTTTCCAGGCTACGCTTCGCCGTCCTTCACGTTTTTCGTTTCATTTTTTTTTCTCTCTTCTCTTCTTTTCTGCTTTTCGGTAACGTACTGTGAACAATTTCTTGCACAAGCAATAATTTTGTTGGCATACTTTGCATGTTCACGTGTTTGAGAGAATTAGATTTCAATTCACACTTACTAGACTTTTTTTGGTCATTCCCGTCAATAGAACACCGAGCAAATCGAGCAACTAGTCTCAGTGACTTAAGGAATCTAAGTCTGCGGAAATTCAAAAGGTTTCTGCTCCGCGACGAGACAGCGAACGCGTTGACCGATAAATTTTAATCGACTGAAATTTTCACTTCTTTCGGGGTCTAGTTTTTTGCGCGACAAAGCGGGTTTTGCCCACCAACTGGTAAAAACTGGCTGTTGAACTTCCAATGACGAACGCAGCGGGCCACGATACACTGCGAAAGTCGAGTGGCAGTCGAGGGGTAACGCGGGTGTTTCATCCATATTTGCGCGAAGGAACTTTCGCTCGAGTAATCATACGAGTACCCTTCACGCGTCGTTGTTCCTTTCATACGAAACTCGTGGCTCCGTTGCACCGACCATCCAAACGGAAACAATGCTTTATTAAAGCGGGTTTGTCGATGCGAAATTTCATTTTCGAGCAAGTGCACCATTGAAACGCGGTCTACGATCGCGAGATGCCGAGGAATTGCATCTCTATCGCAAATAGAAGTTCTTGCGTAAAAATCCCTTCTTCGTACGTAGTCTCGTATCAAATGATTCTTTTCACGTTCATCGGCTCTTCAGGAGAGTTTCTGTCTCTCAGTTTGACAAAATTCAAGTCCAAATAATATATTCTTTCTGCCGAACATCTTTATTAATACTTCGTCAAAAGTGCGAGGAATGTTTATGAATTTCTTTAGTTTCAGCTGAACTTGAATTGAAAAAATCGACACATTGTTACTATTCTATGACTGACGTTTGCATCTTCATATTTTGTAAATTGGAATACAATTAGAAGGAAATTGTATAGATGTAACAAACTGAGTTGTTCTGCTTGTATTATCTCTAAATTGTTCATACAGTTTGGAGTATCACACGTGTATTCTATAGATTCAAACTTTCTCTGAACGCATGGGCATTCTTGCTTCAGTAGTAATTACCAGGCATGACGAACGTGTATTAGTTCTTTCGATCAAGATGCACCCTCGCCTCGAAAAAACGACAGCCGGTCGCCATCCACGTTGTGTCGTTATCCGATTGTTTTTCACATCGCACATGTTAATTACTGGGCGATTAGTCCACCTTAATCCGAAACACATGCGAGGCGCGGTAAACTCTCTTTTCTTAGTAGGAACATCCACTTGGGACAAAGAACAATATTCCACGGCAGCCGACGCCAGCGCAGATGCGAAACACGCAGCGAGGACGTGATAAACGGGAAGGCAAATAAATTAATAAGCATGGTTGTGGAGGTGCGGGGTGGAAAGCCGAGGAGGAGCGGCACCGATAGACCGCGACTTCGTTCTTGACTTTGTAATCGGAGAGGATAAAACGCGGCTTAAGTAGCGGCTAAACGTGAAACGGAA